TTTAGAATTGAAGTATCAATAAATCATTTTTCTTCTATGTGCTATTATTTTGTTTGCAGGCTTTTGCTGATGATTATAGTATTGAACTGAGAACCATGTAATTTGAAACATAAAGTGCATACTTGTTGTAAAAGAAGAAAGTATAAATAACATTTATAACAAAAACAAGTAAAAGAACATAAATGTCAATAATTGCCATTGAAAATAGGTTAATAAATATAAACTACTACAATCCTTTTGCAAAGTTTTACTATGGATTTCAATAGAATTAGAATAAGTTTGCAACCAAAAATGCTTGAAGTATAAGTCTGCAACAAAATGTGCTTGAACAAGATATTTTTGTTTATTGAACGTTATCTCCGGACTTGCGAACTAAACCATTTGTACAGCATTGACAGAAACATATTTTGTTATTGTTAATGCAGTTCAAAACTTAAAATTCGAATAAATTAGGTGAAAAACCGACCAGAACAGTCACATGTCAAATTTCAAAATATCTACATGATCAGTTTATATCTTCAATAACTTCGTCAAAACAGAATCTAGGACGCTGAAACCTTAAACCGAGTGTGGTATATATATTGCATTATGGAATAGACATAATAATGAACTTCAAAATAACAAAAAAAACTACTTGCCTGGCAAAAAATCGTTCACCCGTTTCAAAAAATGACGCCGTGTTTGCCATTTTGTCAAGTTTGCAACCAATTCGCTCGCTTGAACCAAGTGTGCAACCACTTCACGTCCTGCCCCTTGCTTTTGAAAAAAATAGGCATTACATGTGCAAGCTTCCGACTAATAGGATAGTAACCATCATTTAAGGACTGAATATTAAGAAGTAAACACTGTGGAACTCATTTTTTTAAAAACATTTCGTCTTGTCCAGAAACTTTTTTTAATAACTTAATTTGTTAATACATCTCTTATTTCTTCACAAATATTAGTCTTCTACGAGTAAATTTATTTTAAAACTAAAGTCTGGAAGGAAGGTATTTGAATCATCCATCTGCAAAAAAAATTAAGGTACAATGTTAACGATTTGTTTAATGGCTTCAAAGGCTTTCTGTTATTCGACAATAACACTCGGACAAGTTTCTCGGTTTCGTATAAACGAGGCCGTGAAAGTGATCCATAAAGTTCTGGCACATCTTTATGTCTTCTTGTTCAACACGATGACCAAAGTTATGCCCACTATAGATTCCAGGTACAAAATACAATATATCAGGTCTTCCGAAAGGCATTTCAAAACTCCTTTGGGTTTAGCTTAAATTTATAATTCTGCTTGGATTAAACTCATAAAACAATATCTTTTGCATTCAATGTGTACACGATATGTTATATGAAAAAGATCCTTGAAAAATGAAATCCACCAGTGCAACCTTGTCTACGAAGAAATCCCTACCAGGATTCTGAACGCTGATTTGCTACACTTTTTCCATGCATAAAACTTTTCAACCATGATACGCTTTCTGTGCCGTTATATTTGAGAATTTTCAGTTCCTGTTATGTGTCTGGGTAGTACGACGTTTTCACTGCCGTGGAGTTGTCGCTGTTTGATACTGTTTGAGTCAACTGTACAGATCGCTCCGAGGATGCAGAATCAATATGACTTTAACTTGTAGTAACCGTTTACATGCAACACAAAGTTGATCGGTTCTAGTCTTGTTAAATGCGCAACTTGTGAATGGCAGCTAAATCTGTGATAACAACACTTGTTACTGGTGTAATAACAAACAGCCAAACTCCAAACCTAGATACTAATTTAGAAATCATTTTTGTCGTCCGGAAAAGGGATGAAGAAGATTCTGAAATAGGAAAAATAATCAAATTATTTTAATACACATTAGAAAACCGACATTTTTATATTATCATAAAACTAACAGATACACAATTTTTGAATACTGTTTTATATTAAATAATTGATAATTACATAAATATAGGCAACATATATCAGGTTCAACGTTTGTGCCCCTCATCCTAGATTTTTTTTGGTAGCCAGATTCGGCTAAAATAGCTAAAACTGGCTAAAATAGCCACTTATGGAGTTTGTACTAGCCTGTTGAAGATAGCTTAGTCGACCTTTGCCTCCTATTGAAATTGGTTGTTTTAACCCGGTCCTTATTTATAATATATAATCACTTAATCGTTTAACATTCTAGCTTTATCTCTGCAATTCTTTAAATTAAAAAAAATTAAAGAAATATAAAAAAAAAAAATTTCTCACTTACATCTTCTTGTTTATCTTGCAGTAAACAGTCAAAATCGAGAAATTGACCCCAAAGTGCGTTAATATGCTACATATTAACGCACTTTGGGTTCCAGAGGTCTAAATGTGCCATCTGAATTCTGCTTAAATACTAAGTACTGACTTATTTCGATCTGCGACATTGAAATAGGTGAAGTGGAGTTCAAGATGGCGGTCGATACTTTGTTTCATAAAAGTGATAAAAGTTTCATTAATTTTACCACTTGAAATAACTAAAAATTGTGTTCATATAACAAAGAATTCTAATACATAAATTGTGTATGTATTCCTAAAATTAAAAAATGCTGCGAAAAATATCCCGTTCTCTCAGTCATTTACTTGATAACTTTTGGTGCCATATTGAGCCCCATTTTAGTAATGATGGGGATGAAATAAAATGCTGTTAATATTTTTTCCAAAGAACTATAAATATACTCTTTTGCAATGCTCTGCTGAAATATCAAGTTTTTCGATCGGACAATAAATAGTGATTTTTGCAAATACATAATTAATATGCAAGTTTATGCATGTAATATACTTTACTGTTTCTCTTCGCAGTGATGTAACAATTGTATAATAATTATATGTCATTTGATGCATGTGTTATTTGTATATAAATTGTAGTTTGTTAACCTTTGCCGAAGGCATTTTGTATGCTGATTATTGCAAATGAAATATTTAATTGAATTGAATTAAGCTTATCAACAAATTTAAGGTTTTTGTAAGCTCCGTTACAACCGTTCGCCAGAGGTTTTTAAATGGGAAATCTTACATACTTCTTAAGAAAGAGCGAACATGAATTTTATAATGTTAAAATAATGGTATCAGAAAAATGTAAGATGCTTGTTACCTGAATAAAGTAGCGATAAATGTGAAATTATTTGTCTTAAAAATAGCCAAAACAATGTAGTATTTGACTTCCATATAAAATACTAATTCACTATAACTGTACTCATCCTTGCCAAAAAGCAACAGATGAAAAAGATGGTTCAGGTAAATGGCCAATGTGTATTTTTTGGATAATATAGAAGAACATCAAAATAAATAAGCTTTTAAGAAAACCAAATAAAAGCACAATGAGCCTTTAAAACGTCATTTTAAATTCTCGGGGGGATCGATACCCCGCAATCCCCTCTATACCACCAATGAGAATTTTACATTATTCTGAAGTGCGACTACTTAAATAGTTTATGATATATTTTAGTACTGCCTGTACGGACTTCTACTTTAAGCCGCATCTACACCTAGTCAAGTTTCTTATATGTTACATTTAGCTAAATAAATGGTTCTTTCAACATATTATCAGGCACATTTTTTTACTGAAATGTCTTACTAAGATTTCCCAGAATTTATACCTTTGTCTATGCTAAGTCTATCATATTTCTATAAAATGTGTAAATAAATACAATAAGCTAAAAACAATGGAGTAAATGAAAGGTGTGCATTCTTTTAAAATAAATGGAAAATTTGAGAAAAATATATTTTAGGCTTAATAATTTATACAAATTCTTTATTTGATGAAAATTCTTCACTTACTGATCAAAACCATTGAAATCCCTCTTGATTCTATTATTGTTCAGGGCACATGTTTTGCGTCTATTAATACCTTGAATTTTGTTTACCATTTGATTTGACTACAAGATAATATTTAAAACATAATGAACATTAGTTCTTATGACCCCAAAGTGCGGTCGTTTGTCTGATGTTAAAAATGTACCTGTTTAACGCACTTTTGGGTCGAAATTGGACCCCTAAGTGCGTTTGACCCCAAAGTGCGGTGTTACAGAGCCATAATATAGGTACGGACAAATAATTGAATCTGTTTTCATAAAGATTAAACTATGTTTTCAATTTTAGATGGCATGGGTAAAACTGAGATAAATTGAAATCATGCAATTTTAAGATTTTTTTCTTTATTGTTTAACGTTTAGATGTAATTAAATGTAAAGTCATTTTAACTATAAATGATTTCTTGAGAATCGATCCCTGAAATAACATGTGACTTCTTTTAGATTAAAGAACTATGAAAGATCTCAGTTTAAAAGTATACTATGGAAGATAAAATGTTAATGATTTTTAAAATATTGAAAAAAATTGGTTTGTGATATAATGAAGTGGACAAAAGCATACAAAGTAACCATTTGTATTATTTAAGAATACAAATAAAACAGTCTAGGGTCAGTTTTCGAACACACTTACATTATTCATATTTATTTTATTTACAATACAATTGAACATTTGTTTGCGGTCAATTTCTATTGCTATAAGGTTTAACTCTTTTTGTGGAATTTATAGGTCTTTGAGCAAATTTGATAATTGATTTTAGGACAAACCTTAATTAATGATATGGATTAATTGTATATTATCCAGTTTCATATTCTTACTACATTGGCACACTGTCTTAATGAGTTCCGCGCTATTTGTTAAAATTTAAAATTTAAATGCCAAACATATTGTGATACAATGGATATATGTACAAACCAAGGCACTTTTTCAAGTTATAATTGATTTGATTTAATTGCGACTGGTTAACGGGATAAACAGATGATAAGTTTCTGCAAGAATTGTTTCCTAAAGCCAGAAACGGTATTTCCTAAACGGTATAAAAATAACGAAATTGATGCCGTTTAATGTTCTAAGGAAATTGTTTACAAAATATAACTGTTAACTGTTCTCCTTTATGTGACTGGCACTAATCTTTAATGGCATATACTTCAGAATTTGTGTAAAAATAGGCAAAAAAATGATATTAAAAATGTCTAAAATAGTTCTCATGTTCATGTGGATTTTAAGTGTTTGTCTTATTTCTACCATGATCTATATGACAAGCGTTTGTCAGACACAGATTAACTCCATAGAAGAGCGCAATGACATATGGAATAGCCGAAAGTTAGAAAATTGTTCCGTGAAACAGAAGACCGTACACACGACTGATACCCCAGCCCATAACTATACAACATATAGAAATTCTTCAAATGGAAACTCTTCATTAAAACTAGTGTGGCCTGAAAAACAAAATCTCGCAATTTGCAAAATCAAACCTAAACTTTTGGCTGGCCGAATTGAAATGTCCTCATCAGTAACAGCAAAAGATGTCACGAATGCAAAGGTTATAACGAAAGTAAAGTATGGTGGAGTTTATAGACCACCAGATTGTCGCTCGTCACAGAAAGTAGCCGTTATAATTCCCTATAGAGATCGTCCGTGCCAGCTACAAATTTTAGTTAATCATTTGCACAATATGCTACAAAGACAAAGAGTGTTTTACGGAATATATGTTGTAGAAATGGCGTTACCCGTTCAGTTCAACCGCGGTATCCTAGCAAACGCTGGTTTTCTAACAGCCGGAAGTATCGTGAATTACACGTGCTATATCATACATGATGTAGACCTTGTACCAATAAATGACCACAATTTATATAGATGTAGTGAGTACGGACCAAAACATATGGTCACAAAAAATTCTGCATTTAGAAATGGAAAGCTTCCGTACTCTGGATACGTGGGTGGGGTGATAGCATTTACTACTTTGCAATATGCCAAAATAAACGGGTTTTCCAACCTCTATTTCGGATGGGGAGGTGAGGATGACGATATGTTTAAAAGAATCCGTGCTAGAAACATGACTCTTCAACGCCCTCCAGATCATATTGGAGTATTCATGGCTCTAAAACACACACAAGATTCATCAAATCCACCCAATCCACATAGGGAAATGTTATTAAATCAAGCGGAATACAGAATTGATATTGACGGATTGTCCTCAATTAATTACAACCGGAAGTCTCTCGAATTTCGAACTCTCTACACGTGGATTCTTATAGACTGTATCGAAGCCGAACTTTTAGAAAAGTATCCATTCTTAAGAGCTGACTCAAAGTTAATGTCAAAGAAAGTCAAGGAAAAAAGACACCATTTAACAGTTATACAGTCAAAAGATGGCGAAATTAGGGAGAATAGGTTTGTTTACCCAGGAAGAGTTCAAATAAATTGAATAACAATTTTATAACTTTTAAGTTTATTTTTCATGGGGCTAATATACAGGGATTTGCAAGCAAATCAGATGCACTAATTAAAAGTGCACATATTAAAAAAAGGCAAACTTAGTGTGTGAATTATAAAATGGTTACGAAGTTTTTGCGTATCTCTTCGCATGAACACAAATAATATTAAACATTTGTGATGGATTGGACGAACATTTGTTTAACTAGTTCTGACAGTTCTGTCACTTTTATAGTTCATTAAGGTGTGGTACCAGGAGGCTTTTTTTATTGTGTCACAAAAAAGGAGCGTGTCTTACAATGATAACTTCCTCGATACATTTTACACACGTAAAAGTTTTTACTGCAATTCTCAGATAATTTTTAAGGCGCCTACGGTGTGGTATAGTTGTTAGGATTCCTAGTTTTCACCCAGACGGCCCGGGTTCGGCCCCTGTACCGGAACACTCATTTGTTACGAGAGTGTGAACACTTTATTTAAATAATCATACATGTATCAATATATTTTTATTTACAAGAACAGTTGCATGGTATATAGAGGCATGTATCTTGATGCGCATTACTACTCATACGATTCAATGCCGATGTTAACGGGACATAAACGGTGCATGGCATTCTTATAGATCTGTATGTTCATTTGAATGAAAATGATTACAAAAATACCGTTTATTGCTGTTTATTTATGTTTACGTAACATACACATGCCAACAACATGCATATCCCAATATAATTCTTTCGCGGCTTGTTGTTATGTGTGATACGGTTATGTGTGATACGAACTACAATTAATACAATTATTTAAGGCATCACACAGTTCCATTATAGACCAATGCATTTAAATATTACTGAAATACTTTAACATCTTCCTGATGAATTTCTTAAATGGTCATGTTCACCATAGATCTGTATAGGGCCTATGCGGATATGAAAGTTGGCCTGGATTTACACTGGTGTCAGTCTAATCTTTTTCTGTTTCAGCAAAATGAGGTTGAATAAAAACAGTCTACAAAGCTATGTTATGTATATATTATATTGCTTTTTTAACAACTTCACACAATATTCAAAGATGCCTCAGAATCATTTGTACTCGTTTAATTGACTGTATCTATTTGCTAAGACAACGACATTTACAAATCGCCATTACTAACTGGAGTATCCTGAATCTTGTCTGTCATGTTCCCAAGTACGGCATAGTTACTGAAATTTAATTGTTCATATACGTTTCCGGTACAATCCCCGCCGTCTTGTGATTGTGTTTCTGATTTGACGTCTGCAGGTTTTGTATCCTTGTCTTCCTGCTGACGTCGATATTTGATAAACAGAACGATTAAAAGGACAAAGACAATGACAAAAAGAATGCATACAACAATAAAAGGTATCGTCAGGTCAAAGCCTTTATCTGTTGCTTAGTTTCCATTCGACGGTTCAGATACCTTGATTATCAAGATGCCAATCGAAGAAAGATCTTTGTTTGGCAAGTCCTTTCTTACCTGCAAAATACGTTCAAAAAGTTAATGGTTGAAGGAAACACACTCCCAAAAATATTAAACTCCCGATTAAAAAAATCTCAGTACATGATTTTAAATACATAATTTACAGACTTAAAGTGTCTTGAAACATATCTCTTGTGAAACAGCCCTACCAAAAAACAAACAAAATTGCATTTGTGAAAATTGCTAGGCCACCGCAATAATAACACTAAATAGTAATGTAGGAACACACTTATTTTGTTTCTATAAAATTGAAGGTTGCCATAATGCATAGATCACAGACAAGAAAAAATATTTAAATTTTTACTATATGTACATAGTGAAAATCAATGACCCCGTGGCGGCCCGATTTTGACCCAAGGTCTATAATTTGAACAATCTTGGTAGAGGTTCACTACACAAAGTCGCATGCCAAATATGTAACATCTAGTCTTTGTCAATTCAGAGATGACAATTTTTCAAGTTTTTACTATGTACATATAAGGAAAACTATCGCCTCTTGAGCAGGGCAATTTTTAAACAATAGGGGCATAATTTAAACAACTTTGGTTGAGGACCCATAGATGATATTATATACAAAATATCAAAGCTCTAAGCCTTGTACCTTCAGACAAGAAAATTTTTATGTTTTACTATATGACATAGCGACTGAAAATCAATGACCCCCGGGGCTATAATTTGAACAATCTTGGTAGAGGTAAGTATTGACTATATACATAAGGAAAACCTATGAACCCGGGGGGGGCTTATTTTGACCTCAGGGCTTTAATTTATACAATCTTGGTAGAGGTACCTTACACAATGTTTCATGCAAAATATCTAACCTCTAGTCTTTGTCAATTTCGAGAAGATGATTTTTTAAGTTTTTACTATATACCTATATGGAAAACCTATGACCCCCGGGGAGGGCTAATTTTGACGCTAAACGCAAAATTTGAACAACTTTGGTAGAGTACCTATAGATGATATCATATACAAAATATCAAAGCTCTAGGCCTTGTACCTATTTTAAATTTTTACTAAATGTAAATATAGTGAAAATCAATGTCCCCCGGGGCGGGCCAATTTTGACCCCAGGCTATTGCTATTATTTGATCAGTCCTGGTAGAGGTTTACCAAGACAATGCCGTATGCAAAATATCTATGTTCTAGGCCTTGTGGGTCTTTACAAGAAGATTTTTAAAATTTATTCTTATAACTCCTTTTGGTTGCCATGGTAACCAAATTTCAGCATGTATTGAATTCTTTGAACAACTTTGAAAGCCCTTTACCAAAGAATCAATCCTGCCAAGTTTGGTTGAAATTGGACATGTGGTTTTTACACAAGAACATTTTTAAGTTAACTATATAATCTATAATACACACATATACACACGCACACACGCGAACACGCACACACACACGCACACACACACACAGTTGATCATGAATCTCTATATGCCATCGCATCGCAGAAGCTGCGGTGACATAAAAAGATTGTTGTCATTTGACTGTCAACTCAAACCTTCGTAAACATATACGCAACTATACGTTTTCGACATATTGTCATTTCAGTTTACATTACCTCAATGAGAAGTATAAATTCTGTAACGGGGAGACCTGCTTCGTTTAAAGATACATCTTGATTCACAGCGCCAGTCACTGGGTTCATTGTAAATAAATTATGCTGGTTACCTTGAATACGAATTCGAATAAATGAATGAATGAATAAATAAATAATGTTAATAAATTGAATAATTTAATGAAATTTAGTGTCCCTTTGATGAAGTGAAATAATTTTTGAACAGTTATATCACTTTAACACAGTGCATTTGGTGTTATCGAAGGTGTTTGAAATAAGTTAAGTTTGATATAAAAATCAGTTTATAATGGGTAAAATGAGATACTGGTAAAAAGAACTGAAAACGTTTTTTCTCTTTGTTGAAAAGTGAACAATGCATGGAAGTAAATTAATCAGGTGATTTATGTTGGCAATGTAAAATATTATGAGAACATTTGCTTGAATATGTGATGTCCAGCCAGGAAGCATTCTGATTTTTACTTTGACCCAGTTCAAGGTTTCTCATTTTTGAATCTAATAAGTATTTTATTTTAATACGACAATGTTCCTGCTAACTCACCAGCCTTAATTGAATACACTAGAGGTGTCCCAAGACTGTCGAAGTCATTCCCTCGTATGGCTGGTATTATTGGCAGAGGACCCTAGATGAATATGAAAAACAACATTATCACTGAATGTTTTATCATCAGACGCTATCATGTTTAAAATATCCATTTCTATTTATCTTCTAATTCAGACGAGGAGTTATGTCACATTAAAAGTTCAGCGTTATAAGATGCCAAACAGTGAAAAGAAGAAACACAGCGCGACAAATTAGATGAAAACAGCATTATTTTCATTTGGTATTTTCTTTGATTTTGATATATTTATGTTAATCCTTCTGAGTTAACTATTACCATTTACACTGGTACTAAGACGAATCAGTTCTATTAATTAAACATGTATATGCCTAGAACAACATGATGCATGATATAACTTCATAAACAAGCTTTTTTGTCGATTTCAATCAACATCACATGGCAGCAGTTTTTCATAGAATGGTGTTTCAATATATTTCATTAAAGCTGTAGGATACATTGCAATGGGTTTCATTTTCTTATTTGCAGAATCCCTGTTTGCTATGGGTTTTTTAAAAGTTAGATTATAACAATCGTAATCTACTTAAATTCTCACGAAAACTGATTCAAATAAACTAAATAAATCAATAAAGAATTGAAATACACAAAAACTGAATCGCTGAAAATGTGCTCTGCCGAGGAAAATCAATATAATTTTGGTATATTTCTAAAGAAAGACAATCATGACAAAACACGTTTTAATTGTACAACAGCAACCAATATCTATCATTCACTGAAATAGTATTAACAGAATAATGCCTTTATTATTGCCCGTGCTTACACTGTCTTTTATTTATGTTTTTCATAAATATACGTACTTTGTGGGCCAGTCGAATATTAGACACAAATTGCGGAGATGTACAAGGTGGGGAGCAATCAGGGTATTCAAAGTATGGAGGCTGATCATCAACATCTGCTACATGTATTTCCAAGGTGGTAAAAGTTGTCTTGGCTGTAGGACTCGAATAAGATTGAGGCTCATCCTGTTGAAATAGATAATCTCATCAGCTACGAGGTTTTATTTCTAATTATTGTTGTTTTCGTGGCATGATAAATCTATTGTTTTATTTATAACGTTTTGATATCATGTGCGAAGTGGCAAAAATCGCCCTAATGTTTATTTTGTTACATTTTTGTTTTGTTTTAAGCTTCAGGCCAATAAGTGGGAAACCCCATTTATTTTGTTTACGCACGCACGATTTTCAAAACCTTTGTACGGCCGTTCTCAGTTAGAATTTACACCCTTAGTTTTTACTTGTCGCCACCGTCTATCCTCATTATTGCAGGTTATTTGCCTGTAAATCTATGCTGGTTTAAGAAGGTAGATGTTACCTTAAATAACACACAATAACTCGCCATTTGATCATGAATAATTGTTTAATAATATTCACCTTAAGTTACGAAAATGACAGGTTCGTGATTGTCGCCGTCCAATTTATAAAAAGTGAACGTGTATTTAGATGCTTTAATTGTATTGTTTTAATTTTGTTTCATGCCGTATTATTTTGGAACAATTCACGACTATAAATTTGTAAATTAGATCTCAGTAACAATAACTCATAAAAAATGGTAAGGGGTTAGTGTTTGTCGCCGGATAGTATGAAATGTTCGTTATCCTTTTAACCATATATTGCAAGTGAAGTGTTTTTATCATTGAAACAACATTACATGTTCATTTTTGTATTAATATCACAATATAATACTTTCATATTATCACCATGTTCATAGTGTGCACAATTTTTTTATTATTTATGTAGAATTTAACGTTGTGATGTGGTTTGGGTTAAAATTGAAAGGTTCGTTATCTGATTTTAAGGGTTTATGACTGCAATATGTACTCCCAGCACATGAAATGTTCTAAGTTGCGTAAAAATTAGTATATTATGCCAAAAATGAAACATTTTGTAGCTGTATAAACAACATTATTGAATCTGAAATATGCTGAGAAAAGGTTCGTGATGAAAGGTTCGTGCGGTGATATATTTTACTCGATGCCGCATACACTATGCTTGTTTGTAAACGGCTGCGGTTAACAAACATATGTACTATGAAGTAATTTGGGTTGAAACGTTTCAATTCTTTCTATAATGGTTGCTTATTATTCGCAGCGCATGTTATAAACATGATTGAAATTCCCATCAAAATCCTTTGGCAAGTGATTTTGATACTTTTCATGATTATTAAATTTCAAGAACATTTTCTATTGCCTACTGAATCACAAACGATGTTGTGTTCAAATGAAATAAGCAAAATTATATTTTTATGATGTTTATCAATACCATGTCGGATTACAAACAAGGAAAGGTTCGTGACCATTAGTCGCGAACCTTTCCTATGATAATTTACATGAATAAAATAATATATCTTATCCTGTAATGTATATAATATTATTTAAGAAAAATATTGTGATATATCTTATTTATACAGAAAAAGGACATCAAAAGAATGTCTGATTTTACAAGACGTTACAACTGAAAAAGATTTATGTAAAAAATAAACCTCGTACTCGCCCGAAAAGCTTGTTTTATAAAAAAAACAAATAAACATTACATTTGTGTGATTATAAATTCAAAATATGAAGTGAATTTAAAACAATTCTATAAAGATAAATTTTTATGATGAGGGAAACATGATAAAATAAACATTTAACTCAATGAAAGGTTCGTTGTCTTGGGCCACGAACCTTTCAATTAAAAAAACCCGTCTTTTTCGGGTAGCTAGACGAATGTAGCTTTGGAATTACTTTTAGTGCAGACAATTATGCTGAAATCTAAACCTGAAAACATGCGGTAATTCAGTAAATTAATAAAACAAGAAGATTCGAAAAAAATATCAAGAATATATTATTACAAGCATAAAAAAATCGTTGCTTCTTCAATGTAGTGAAATTGTGATTAACCTTTTGAAAACTAATATTTGCGTGACATATTGCAATGTCCAGTAGGCGAAGAAAAGATATTGCTGAACCCAAGGACACACCCTAAAAGGTTATGAAGCCAAGCGAAACGAGATATTCGCGGAGGTCATTTAAATAATTGGGAGGTGACAACATTAAATTTTGCTGCAAAAGAGCAATTTCAGTGAATAACGAACATATCATTAGCGAAATTGACTCCGATCCTATAATTTGATATGCTTGCTTTATATAGCTAATATTTTATACTAGCTGAATGTTTCTCTTCGTAAAAAGCTTATGTTTATTTGTTTTAAAAGTAGAATCTAGTATTATTACCAAATTGATACGTTTTCATTGGATTGAATTAGTTGTTATAGATTTCAGAAAACATTTATAAATTGTTTTACTACAGATGCCATTCCAATTTAATATCATTTTTGAGAGATAAAAGAATACTATAGCTATCATTAGGTAATGAATATAATTGTATTTGAATGTCTATATCCGAACTTTATATCTGAATATAAATGTATCTATATTAGCATCAACATTTTGATTTCACGATGAAAGGTTCGTTATTTTATAAACCATATCTGAATTGAAAATGTTAGTGAATTTATGATTAAAATCTTAGCACCAGTAATGTATTTGATCTGGTAAACTGTTCTATTTCTTGATACATGTTTATCTTTTAATTAAATAGTTGTTGTTTCAATTGTTTTAGACTGATATGCTGTATTGCTATGTCTTTAGTTACTATCATTTTACATTAGATACTACTCGATGCTTTATTTTACTACAAATTGTGAACCAATATACTATAAAGTCAAGAAAGATAATGGGTTTTATACTAAATATCATTGTCTGATGTCAATATGTATGCTTTGGGGTATTAAGTGGGCTTCTTTTTTGTTTTCGTTTATGGTTGAAAGGTTCGTTAGCTTTACATAGTACTTAAATTTTAGCAAGGTGATCATTTACCTATTAATAAAGCATATACATCGCATACAATTGCTAGCAGTGATACTACGGTTTTTATTTATGCCAAGAACTATACTAATTACACTGGGTCGTAGCTCTTATAATAATGAGACAAATCGTAATCACAGTTAAGCAGTATATCTTGATTTGCACTTTTTGCATATGAGTTTTTAAAAAAGTATATAAGCTTAATTAGGCAAGTAATTCGTGATATCAATTGTACAATTAGAAATCTATGCATTTTGTGATATTTAAAAGTAAATTCCAATAAGAGATCATCAATGCAATTATAAGCAGCCCTTTTTTAAAGTAAAAGGTACTTTGTCACGAACATTTCCGGCATTTTAAAAAGGTAAAATGGGTTCACTTTTCAAACCGCCGATTTACAAAAACTACTTATATGATGTTGAAAATAATTTCAGAAGAACTTCACAGATGGTTTAAGTTTGTAAAAAGACTAACAGTTTTGCGTTTTTGCTAATCTGTATTTTTATCAAATTTTGATAGGGGTGTAAATTCTAACTGAGAATGGCCGTGTAACGGTTTATTAGTCAATGTTAATACCAATTATTTCCTAATTTGATACGCTCAAAAGTAAATAAATTATTTATCCCATAATAAAAGCAATCGAAGGAAGAAAGAACAACAAATACATAAATTCACATTTAGGATTTGTTATCTGCATTGCCGTATATCTACATTACTAATACATGTTCTTAGAAACAGCATACATGACATTAACATCTCAACGTTTCATAAATCGGTGTAATCAAAAAAGACTTTCTTGACACTAATCTTATATCTTTATAACGTACATCAACATGGAAAAAACACAGTTATGAACGTACTTTCCCTGTCAGTAAAGCTGCGAGTCGGCTGCGCACCCCTACTCCATCGTGGGAGGGGTACGTAGTAGGAAATCAAAACTCAAGACCAGCCACCTTCCGTAAGTGCTCTGACATAATTAAATGAGAAAATCCATAAAAGTAACCCACTTACTATGTAAAATATAATTAAAAGCCGATTATGTACGCTCAATAACTGCACGCTTTCCACCTATAAGTTCAGAACATTTACAAAAACGTATAAAATATGGAATCTCTTCTTATATACAGACTATAAAAATTAAAATCAGAAAAGTTCAAGGTATCGTATTTCACTAACTAAAGAATCGTTCTCCAAAATAACGAACATCCCGGGAAAGTAATACATCTTGTTCTTGGAACAAAATCAGAAAAATATAAACTTAAGCAATTAACAATATTTTTAGTTAAATTCAAATCGTAACCAAAACGTAAAAAACTTGACTGAATTAATCTAAAAATGCATCTTTATAATACCATACTTCATTTACCATTAAAACATTGAAGTATTTATAAATCAATTATAAACCTTGCAAAATTATTCTGCAGTTGTAAGAATACGATTAAAAACGATTTATCAACTTGAAGAATAAAAATGGACCAAGAAAAATCAGTTACTGTACAGATTAACTATGACTGCGTGAACTTTTAGGGAGAGTGGGAGGGAATCATTGCACGATAGAGTAAAATAAACGTGTGTAGCAATGCAGAAAACCTCGAATGATATACACATCTATCCGACTTTATTATATATAACTGACGCACGAGAAAATCGTGCGTATCATATTCAATGATTTTCAATACAGTAAAACTTCGATTACCTTAACCTAGGATAAATATATTTATTTCCTAAATCGCTACGCTCAAACGTAAATAAATTATTTATCCCATAATAAAAGCATTCGAAGGAAGAAAGAACAACAAAAACATAAATTCACATTTAGGATTTGTTATCTGCATTGCCGTATATCAAATTCAAAAACAAAGAACGGATGCAATGAAACTCTTTATAATATCAAAAAATTGTTCAATGTTGTATATTTAATATTAATCAATATCAATATAATATGTATTTCATATTTGATTCTAATACGCCCAGATTCTTTGTAATTGAAAATCGTTTGTTTAAAATGTCACTACGCCACCGGTCCGCGATCTTAAACTATGTAATCCACAATGAGATTTATGTAATCCAACTGAGGAAAACATATCCAGAATTATCTCCTTTGATCTCGTAGGCTGTGCATATTAAGTTATAATACTGTCTATATTTACAAACTGATTTACAGTAAGTGAGAGAACGAAATATGAACTCATTAGAATCATCGTTAATTTGAGCACATTAAAGATATAAATTAAGCAATGATACTAAAAATGTTTTCAAGCTTTACAACCATTTTTTTTCCATCGTCATGCAAAGTAATATCGGAACGTCTCAAAACAAGTTAATTCATAATATCTCAAGAAGCCTGTATATTCAAGCAAACACATTGTTATACATGTATTTCTTAATCTAAACATATTATTTGCATCGCTGCTATACATAGAATCTAATTTATTTAACATTTCCGGTGTAACAGGAAGAATCCTGTGAGCTGCTTCCCTAACTAACTTTTTAAAAGTTGAATGACAAGGGTTAATAGAACATCCCGCTTAATCATGAGCCCATTTAATTCCGTAATAGGCATCGTCAACAGATGAATTACATTTTTGAATGATTGAAATCAAATACAGCGAAAAATCTGGTAAAGAATTAAGTTTGTAATTCGTTATGACACAAGGTATTGTATGGTCGTTGGTACTTTTTGCTAGTATTGACAACATGATACTTGATGATGAGAAGTCAAAATACAACTAAATATAAACGAAAAACATAAAAATAATTGAAAACAGAGTCCATATGAAAAAACCGTTCATCACGCTTATTTCAAGTCGATTCGTTATTCGTTAAAAAGGTTAAATATATTACAATCTGCCTTCACAGCGGAAAAACGACCACAGTCAAACCGTTTTATGACCACATAAATTCAGCAAGTGAAATAGAAAATAAAACCTATCAAACAATAAAAGCGTATATCTTAAAATAAAGAAAATCTCGCACAACGGCGCTTGCCACTGCCAATCGGCTGGCGTACCACATAATTTCTAATTTAATAAATCTCGCCAATCGGCGCTTGCCACTGCCAATCGGCTGACGTACCACATAATTTTTAATTTAATAAATCTCGCCAATCGGCGCCCGCCACTGCCAATCGGCTGACGTACCACATAATTTCTAATTTAATAAATCTCGCCAATCAGCGCTTGCCACTGCCAATCGGTTGACGTACCACATAATTTCTAATTTAATGAATCTCGCCAATCGGCGCTTGCCACTGCCAAACGGCTGGCGTACCACATAATTTCTAATTTAATAAATCTCGCCAATCGGCGCTTGCCACTGCCAAACGGCTGGCGTACCACATAATTTCTAATTTAATAAATCTCGCCAATCGGCGCTTGCCACTGCCAAATGGCTGGCGTACCACATTATTTCTAATTTAATAAATCTCGCCAATCGGCGCTTGCCACAGCCAATCGGCTGGCGTACCACACACATTTCTAAATAAATAACTCTCGCCAATCGGCGCTTGCCATTGCCAATCGGCTGGCGTACCACTCAAAATTATAATCTAATACCTCTTGCCAATCGGCGCTTGCCTCTGCCAATTGGCTGGCGTACCACACAAAATTATAATTTTATAACTCTTGCCAATCGGCGCTTGCCACTGCCAATTGGCTGGCGAACCACATAAATTTCTTTATAAATAACTCTCGCCAATCGGCGCTTGCCTCTGCCAATCGGCTGGCGTACAACATAAATTTCTAATTTAATAAATCTCGCCAATCGGCGCTTGCCTCTGCCAATCGGCTGGCGTACCAAACAAAATTATGATTTAATAACTCTTGCCAATCGGCGCTTGCCACTGTCAATCGGCTGGCGTACCACACAAAATTATAATTTAATAAATCTCGTCATCGTTTTTAAAAATAAACGAACTTACTCCATGTATAATCCATTATTATATGATAATGTAAGGGTAGTAATTGTGCACGTTTTTGGCTGTAATATGATTTCACATATTAAGTACAGATATTTCAAGCAAGTCTTTAAATATATGACTTTATCCGGAGTCTTATGGGAGGCAACTCTTCCGGGCATGTAGGTTCTGACCACGCGGTGTCTACGCAATTATTTACTACGTCATCAGGAAAGCACGTGGAGACATTCTCTCTGCATTGGATTTCGGCGAAGCAGGTCACGTTTTTTAGTGCTCTTACAAAAATATTTTAACAACTGATTTTAATTATTTTACCATTGTTTTATTTGAATATAACGCTTTATAAGTCAATTTACGGTACTAAATAGAATTTATATTTGATTTAAAATGCATATTTAGAGCTAATTAAAATTATTTGTCATGGACATTGTAAATGCCAAAATGGGTCCATTGTAAATGGGTCATAGAAAATCTAGGTCTAGATAAATTATCTCTTAATTTCTTTATGAATATTAATTTATTCAGTACATTTTTGATTTGTTTAATCTAGTATTTATCCTAGTATTTTCTGGTTTTTGCTAGAAATGCCGCGACAAAGGAAATCATCAGGGGGTAAAAAGGCACGTGGTGATCAGTTGACCAACCGTGTTTCAAGAGTTAGACGAACTCAAGTTGCTGACAATCTTTCTCAGTTATCACAGAACATGATAAGAAATAACACATCTGTGGAACCAATGTCAAATGATGACAATTGTTCATATGATCCCACCAGCAGTGCTGCGAATAGTCATCCTATTCCTACAATAACTCGATAACAGTTCGAGCAAATGTCTTGCAATGCTCCAACATTTCAATTTTCTACTGGGCCTCAATACCGACCTCAGGTTACGCATACTACTACTTCCGGTGCATACCAAATGCTTGATTACAGCGGGGCACCAAACAGTACTTACACTTCAACGGTACCCGCTGCTTATCCACCACAAATTTATCCGGGTTCCAGTCTTGTTACATATGAGAACACCATGTATCAAGGAGTGACAGTTCCTGCATATGGTAATCCTCCACCTACTGTTTGCCCAGCCAGTGACTTAAACTTATAAATGGTCAACTGCATGTAACCCAAACAACCAAAAAACAAGACATTTTGTCCATTGAAAAATGGACAGATGCTTTTATGATCTACATGAGTATCATTCTCATAAAAAATCCATTCTTAGCAAGAGATCTTCTACAATATTGTAACACAATCAGGTCAGCCTCAAAATTAAACCCGGCTGGATGGGGAAAATATGATCGCCTTTTTCGTTATAAATTAGCTCAATATTCAAGTACAAAATGGTCATCGGTTGATGCCGAGTTATGGCTTCTAACCATGACAAACAACCATTCTTTAGACTTACAGTACAGTAAGCCTTGCTTTGACTTTAACAACAAAGGTTATTGTACGAAATATGGATGTAAATACTTACACAAATGTAAAATTTGTTTAGGTCCTCATTCTTTTATAATTTGCAGAAGTGGCCACACAAGTAAAAAAATTGGGGACATCTCGGGAAATCCCCCGAGATTTCCAAGACCACCACAACATCCAACTGCATTTAATATCCAAAGTAAGGGACCTAGGTCATTCGCCGATAGACCCTTCACGCCTAGAAATTTGGCTCCAAGAATATGATTTGTGTATAAGAAATTATTTAATAACAGGTTTCAGAGAGTGGTTTAAATTAGAATATAATGGACCTCGAAATTCTTCATATTCCAAGAATCTTAAATCAGTAATAACTAATCCTTCAATAATAATGTCAATATTAGATAAAGAAGTAGAACTTGGTCGAATGTTGGGACCATTTATAAATAAACCGTTTGCCAATCTCCGTATTAATCCTGTAAATTCAGGTGGCATGCGTTTAATTACACATTTATCATACCCATACGGTACTAGTGTAAACGATTTTATTGATATCGATTTATCATCTGTTCAGTATTCAAAATTTGATAATATTATAGATATAGGACCTGGTACTTTGATGGGCAAACGAGACGTTAAGTCCGCATTTAATTTGTGTCCTGTTCATCCTGATGAATTTGATCTTTTAGGAATATGTTTTAACGATAGATACTGGGTTCAAAAAATGTTGCCCCAAGGCTGTTCAATAAGCCCAGCAATTTTTGAAAAGTTGTCAACTGCTTTGCAATTTGCGGTATCAATACATGGAAAATCAAATAACTTAGATCATTATCTGGACGATTTTTTCTTTGCCGGAAAATCTAGCACTAATGATTGTCTGGAATTAATGTCGGCCTTTGAATATGTTTGTAATGATATCAGAATTCCAATCAATAAGAACAAGTCCGAAGGTCCAGTGACAATTTTAACATATTTAGGTTTAGAAATTGATACCGTACTTATGGAAATACGCGTACCAGAAGATAAAATTATAAAGGCAAAAAACATTATTTCAGAAGTTTTGACAAAAAATAAAATCACATTGACAGTTTTACAGTCTATTCTCGGAATCTTAAATTTCTTTACAAAAGCTATCCCTGTTGGCAGAACATTTAATTGCAGGTTATATCAAGCACAAACTCAAGCAAAATTGCCACACCATTTTGTGCGTCTTACTAAAGAATTAAAAGAAGACCTTGTTATGTGGTTAACTTTTTTAAAACTTTTTAATGGGACATCAGTAATGGCTGATCAAAATTGGATCTCAGATCAATGTATAGAATTATACACAGACGCCGCTGGAAACAAACAATTGGGTTGTGGTGCATATTTAAATGGGGAATGGTTTAATTTCAAATGGCCTTCGATTTGGCAAGATGAGTTATTTAGAGATATAACAGTTTTAGAATTAATACCTATTGTGTTTGCGTTTTTGATATGGGGAAACAAATTGAAAGGAAATAAAATAATACTGCATTGCGACAATATGGCCTTAGTTCATATAATAAATAAAAAGTCTTCAAAAAATAAGAGAGTTTTAATGTTATTGCGACATTTAGTATTGATTCTTTTGATTAATAATATTCAAGTTAGGGGGGTCCATATATTTTCGAAAGAAAACGGTATTTGTGATGCCATTAGTAGATTTCAAAACAAAAGAATTCAAAAACTATTACCACAGTTTGCATGCAAAACCCCTCTCATGATTCCTTCTGAATTTCAGTATCTTATCACCACGAAATTATCCGGTTGATACAAGGATCTATTGCAGACAATACTCACAAAAGTTATAATATAGGATTAAAGTCATTTGAAAATTTTAGAGATTATATGCATTATGATAAGCAATGGCCTCCAAGCGTCCAACAGATACAGGAGTATATTGCATATTTGTCTCACAATGGTTATGCTTATAGTACAGCAAGCTGTCATGTATCTGCGATATCATTTTCTTGTAAGATCAATGGTAGGGCTGATCCTACCCGCTCATTTGTTGTTAAAAAAATGCTGACTGGAATGAAAAGATTGAATAAGAGATCAGATGCCCGGAGACCAATCAATTTATCTTTGTTAAATAAAATTTCAAATTGTCTGAAATTTGTTTGCAATTCAGATTATGAAATTGTGCTTTTTAAAGTAGCATTTCAACTTGCTTTTTTCGGGTTATTAAGAGTAAGTGAATTAGATTTTGGATATAAAAATCTAACAATCTTTCCAAACTATGTACAACTGTATTTAGCTTCGTCAAAAACTGACCAATTCAGGAATGGAGCCACAATACAAATAATATTTTCTCAGGATATGGCTTTGCTAAAAGATGCTCTTTTATATTATGCTACGATTAGACCAAATATATATGGTCAATACTTGTGCCATGCTAACGGCAAGCCTTTGACACAGTATCAGTTTAGGCAAATTCTCCGAAAAGCAGTTTTATTGTTAGGTCACAAAAATATTTTTTTCCAAACTCACTCCTTTAGAATAGGAGGTGCAACATATCTGTACAATAAAGGGATCCCGGAGAATGATATTCGTACTTTTGGACGCTGGAGGTCAAATGCTTATAAAACCTATATCAGATTATAAAGGTCAATCTATTGAAATTATAGGTAACATACAAGTTTGGATAATTGGGTCTTCGATCATCCGAGACGCCTTCTATCATACACAAAATGTGAATTTCCAATTACCAGGGGTTGACATATTTTGGGAATTCCAACCTGGAATGCGAATTTGTCACTTGCAAGATATGATTTTTGACTTGTTAGGTAAGCACATACCACCTAACTATTTAGTCGTCCATTGCGGAGGAAACGATATTGGACAAAGTCCGTTAAATAATACTGAACTACTAGCTATTCAAACCATACAAGAAATACAATCAGTTGATGCAAATATCAAAATTATATGGTCTCAAATTTTACCGAGATTGGTTTGGCGCAATGAGATTAACCATACAAAACTTAATAAAGCCCGCCGACGTTTCAATACTACTCTGTCCAAATATTGCATTCAAACTGGTGGTGCTTATATAAGATATCCACAAATATCAGAAAATCGAAAATATTTATACAGAGATAATGTTCATATTTCGGAAGCAGGAAATGATATTTTCATAAGCAATCTTAAACACGGTTTGAATGCAATCATATATGGTGCTGCTACGTGCTTTCCTGAAAACTAAACTTGTCATTGACTGACTCGAAATTTTGTATTTAACAAAATGCAAGAGAAGAAATTGTATATCAATATTGTTATCGATATCAAAGATATATTTTTTATATGGTGGCAAATTTGAAAATTTGTCATGTAGTTACACTTTCCATATAGTGATATTTAGTAGATGTGGCATCCGAATCCGGTGTTGTATATATATTATATTTCACATGCATGTCCGAGTCCGGCATATTTGATTCTACCGAATTCCGGAGTTTCATAAATACCTGAATGGTTTTTTGTATATATATATATATATATATATATATATATATATATATATATATATATATATATATATATATATATATATATATATATATATATATATATATATATATATATATATATACACCTCCGTAACTGGCGTGCAATGCTAGTTGCTAGCTTGATAAATATATTTGAAGATGAGATATATTATTATTATAGATTATTCCTGGATAAAAATGCCCTAGTCCTTGGCAGGGCTCGAACCTGGTCCGAGCTATGGCATTCTAGTGCTTATTTTATCAATTTGTATAAGAATATCAAGAAATTTGATAAATTATACTTGACATTATTTGTATTGGCCATAATGCTACTTGTTTTTACATTGTAATTAACAGTCAGTCAGAGCCATACTACATGCCAAACTTAGAACAATAATATATTAAAGAGAGTTTAAAGGTTACATTTGTTTTATTAATTCATTAAGGTAATAAGATATCCGGATAAATGATTCAACAACTTATATTATAAACAGGCACTTAAACATAACTGTCTATATTTAAGAACAATATGTATAGGATATCGACCGAGTACGAGGTCTTTCTGTTTAGGAAAGACCTGGTCACGAATTTCATGTGACACCGAGAGCGCGTAAAACTATTGGCTTGAGCAATGGCTGATCCGAGCAATTGATGTTATGCATAAAAAAAAAATCTTTAACACAGCGCATATACAGGTAGGCTTTTATCAACGTTCTGCTTAAATACAAAATATATATATTGCATTTAACTTTGCTTTTCCATTTAAAATAATAATAAAAAAAGCTAAATGTGCAATGTGTCAATAATAAAGTGAAGAGGTCTGTAATGGAAGGTATGTTAAAGAATGAATAATTATGTTGATAGTATTTCTTATCAGATATCGCAGATTCTAGGACATTTGCCCTCGGACAGTTGTCCTTTCGGACGTTTGCCCTCCCCCCTTTTTGCTGTTGCGACTTGTCACTTGTCAGAGATCATCTCGTGTATAGATTTTTTTGTATGTCAAATGGAAACATTATAGTTCATTTATTTATGGATGCTACTTGATATTCACAAATTTGCGCGAGAGTTTTTGTGTATTTAACAGGCGATGAATTTTGGTAGCAAACACTTCAACAATTAAATATGTTAACACTTTTAAAACAGGGAGGGGCATTTCCAAAGATATGAGGGGACAAGTGACCGCCACTGCAAAAAGGGGGCATCAATCTGGGAGGTCAACTGTCCGGAGGGCGATGATCTGATACCCAGCAAATCAGGAAAGACTTACATATGTATATTGCTGGCAAGTTTGAGATACATGATCCGAAACTATATTTCATAACAGATTATAAAGTGTTCTGGAATAAAATATGATCGTTCATCATAAATATTTTTATACTAAACATATAACTTTATTAAGAATTTTTCAAGAATTTTTGAATGATATCCGAATAATACATTTCTATCGTTTCTATCGATATTTGAAATACTAATGGAAGATGTTTCCATTGTAGACCAATCCACATTAAGTACATGTATATGCATATCTCTATTAGCAAGGTTTGGATTCTTGAACGTTGTTGTGTAGAATTCTTTAAAACTAAGCCCTAGCTTCGATGGTTTTCAAGGGAAATCAGTTTTGAGTTTTCTCCGGCAGGATAAAGCCTACATCAAAGAGAGGGGAAGGGGTTAACGGGGAATTAACAATCTGGTTGATCGCCGGATGGGAATGCTTCTAGGGACTTTGCTATTAACTGTGTGTAGCTGCGGTTTCTAATGTAAAGCGTATATGAAATGGTGAAAAGTTGTGAAGCGGACATATTTTTGGTGAATGTTTTCGATATGAATTTTTGGTACAATTTACTGTGAATTTTCTAGAACGTTTAAGATGTTATGGATTAGGTGTTTAAAATCGTGATAAGTATGCTGTGATTACTGCTATAGTTTCATAGAAATGAACTTGAAGCGTCCCTTTTTATATATTACAACAGTTATATGAATGACAGAGGAACCACTTAGATTACTATTCGTTTGAAAAATGACGCGATTAAATAAAATTTAATGTTAATTGTATCTAACTTTGATATGCTATCCATTATTTAAGATATTGTTACGAGCCAGGCGTAACGAGAAAGAAAAGCCAGCAACAAACTTATAACAATAACAAATTTATGACAGAAAATTAATAAAGAAAATCAAAATAACAAATTATGTGTACAAATACCTGAAGTCCAAATAAAAATGTAAAATTAAAATGTCTTATCTGATCCTGGAATGATCCTTTTTGAATAGCACAGTTAAAATCCAAGTTAAATCCAAGAACACTTTAGAATAAATTCCCACAATAAAATCCACAAGAATAATTTATTTTAAAATCCAAGCTCCAATAATTCACTTAATATCCAAGTTGAATAATACTCCAAATATATTGATGACTTAAAAGGTAACTGATGACTTAAAAGATCACTGATTACTTAAAAGGTAAAAGTAATGAAAAATGTCACTTTATATATATTAACTAAGAAAATTCCAGAAAAGTCTATTATGTTCTAAAGTAATCATAATCTAGCAACTTCAACAATAAAGAACATTCCAGAAGTTTCTATCTAAATATAATGCATGAGTTTTCTACAACAGTTAAGAAAGTTCTAGTACATACATGTAGTTAATGTTCTAAAAATAGAACAATGATAATATTGGAAATACCAACTGGTCAGATATAAATTATATACATGTAATATGTTGCATACATAACAATATAATGTAGGGATGCTTGAATAATTGTCAAGTGCATTCAATAAACATTATCTTGTTTAAAAATGTTTCCGATTTTGTAAGACAGGAACATTATGACAATCATATACATTTTATTATTGATTGCATTTCATGTTTTCTTTGTCTGCGCATAGGCAGGTCTATTTTTTCACGTGTTTTTCATGACCGGGTCTGTCTGACTAGAACAGACCTATGCACGTGCAAAAGATAGACCTCATAACGGACTTTCTTTTGTTTAAACAGGTCTATCCGAAAAATATAGACCTGTCACAAACAAAAGAGGAGGTGGGTAAAGTCGGTTAATTTGTCAGATCCAAAAAAAAATTTGTATACTCAAATATTGTACCAAAATATCTTGTCTTGTGGTAAACTCAAAATATCAAGAATGTATATTTTGGGTATACTGCTATTACTAAACAACATTTGCCAGAACGGTGCTGATGGCAAATGAGGTACAATTAAAACTCCGTAACCATCCAGTTATTTCCCCCTGAACAATTAACTACTAGTAAAATGGCATCGACTTGCTCTGTTCCCGGAACCCAGAGCAAAGAATTAAATCTTTTAACTTTTTTTTTTTTTTATTAAATTTTCTTTATTATCCAGTTCGTACAAACAATACATTTCATACATTGTACAAATTTACAAACATATTACAAATTGTTTAATTGCAAGAATAAACAATGGTTAAATCAGAAAAAAACCTTAATAAAGACTAAGTAGATTTAAACTGATTTAACATGGTTGTAAAAATGGAAAAGTAATCTAGAGCATGATATATGTAATTTTAATTATTTATAGTTATGTTTTCATTAATAAAAAAGAAGCGTTTCATAGTAAGCGTGTAAATAATATTTAATAGACTCCAGCCAGTCGCATATGTTTATGATGTGAATATGCTCCATTTGTTGTTATGGACATCGACCTTATTTTTCATTTCAGCAATGAGTCTTTCTAAACTAAGTTTATATCTAAGATAATTTAAAAATTCACTGAAGTTTGGTATGGTTTTCTGGTATTTATTTTTAAATATAAAATATTTACCTAAGAGTAAAATATAGTTAATGCAGTTTGATTTCATATTATTTTGAATGTTCACATTACACAAGCTGACAGTTTCGTATGATACCAAAGTTGTGTTTGTAGAATATTTTGATTGTAAAAAAATCCTGATTTGACACCAAAATGGTTGAATTTTTGAGCATTCCCAATATAGATGTACATTAGATTCTGGTGCCGAGGTGCAAAAATCGCATAACATTGACTCCACCATATTATATTTAAAGAGTTTTTCATTGTTTGGCAAAATACGCATAAGATATTTATACTGAAAACTTCGAAGTTTGGTATCAATCGTTATGTTTATTGATTTGATGGAATATATTTTTCCATTCAAAGTTGCCTGAGAGTTCAGCTTCCCATTTGTTTTTCTTGATGATTGTTTGTTGTTGTTTTCTTTTGAATAAGCATAGTATAAATAAATCGGCAGGTTTTAATTTGAGGTTTTAATTTATCAATTAAGTAGTTATTAGCTTTGTATTGTATCCCTTCAGATTTTAGTTTTATTTTCCATTCTTTTGGTATGCATTTTATGAGTTGATGATAGTTTAAAAAGTTTGATTGGGCTATGCCATAAAGGTTTTGGATTTCGTTAAAGCTATAAAATTGTTTTTTCCTATAATCGTATATATGTTCGATAAAGATTACACCTTTTTCCATCCATTCACAGAAAACAAATGGTTTGTTACTTAGTTTTTATATTCGTGTTTGTTCCACTTATATTTCTTTAAAAACCAACATTCAATTTTATTTCTTTATTAAAAGTTTTCATACGACCAAGCCACTGAAGTTAGGGTCTTTTAAAAATGTAAGATCTTAGATATCTAATTTTCCCAAATATCTTTTTATGTGTTAAAAGATTACATTTAATAATGAATTGTTTTCCCATATGTTATTTAAACCCCATATTTTTCATTAATAACTTTAACCCATTTTTTGAATGTTTGAATGCAATTTTAATGCGTTTTGTAAACCCCAGGAGGCCGTTTTAAAGGATATATTAAAAAACTTTCAATGTTTTAACATTTTTTTAAGCCCCCATTGGTTGGGGTAATATTTTTGAATAAATCTTATCTCCTTTGATATTTTGTACTGGTTTGTGTTTGTTTCCCATAAAGAGAAGTTAAATCATGAAGCTTTTTTTTTTTATTTATGATTTCTTGGTCTGGGTTATGTAAAACTGTGAGAGGATAAATAAGTTTGGGC